AACATCTAATCTTTGTGTTTACTGAAACCCTTCCCGGGCTTTGTTTACTGTCTGCATGCTGGCCTGGACGTTTGATCTTGCAAGACTAGATCAGACAGGGTCAGATAAAATACTGATTACTAGAATAAACCAGGCTTGGGGAAGGAACGCTGATTTTTAACATCCCCGCTTCGCCCAGCTTTTTAATATTTCGCAAAATAAACTCAAGTAAACAAATAAAATTAAGACAACTAGCAATCAGGGGGTTCTTGAGCAATGACTGGGAAGAAGAAAGTGATGGGGGTAATTTTGCTTTTTGAACAAACTACGGGGTTTGGGTAGGTCCATGCATTCTAGTGGTATTATTTTATGACACAAATAATTTCATGATATGCACCAGTATCCATGTGAACTTGCGATGACCCCTTAATCCTGTGACATATTAAATACTGGAGCTCGGCCTCACCAAAGACAACAGTTCACTTGGCATTTGCTGCCAGATGCAAAACACTTGAGATATAAAATTGTTTTTTAACTTGTTAATTTTTAATTGGGAAATATTTAAAATACAAGAGCCCTTCCTTGTTGTCACTACCTTATTCTTATAAAAATCCCCTGAACAAATAGACTGCCATCTGAGTATCATTGCTAATGGAATGGCCCTCAAATTCCACTGTTTCATAAAAATAGTGAGGAAAGTTTTTACCTAAAAGTAAGTAACACAAAAGAAGAATTGGGTTAAATATAAGTTTTGTATTAAAATGCCGAAACTGGTTTGGCTCAGTGGATAGAGCGTCGGCCTGCGGACTAAGGGGTCCCAGGTTCAATTCCGGTCAAGGGCATATATCTTGGTTGCGGGCACATACCCAGTGGGAGGTGTGCAGGAGGCAGCTGATCGGTGATTCTCTCTCATCGATGTTTCTAACTCTCTGTCCCTCTCTCTTCCTCTCTGTAAAAAAACCAATAAAATATATTTAAGTTTAAAAAAATGTATAGAACAGCCCTAGCTAGTTTGGCTCAGTGGATACAGCATTAGCCTGAGGACTGAAGGGTCCTGGGTTCGATTCTGGTCAAGGGATCAGTTGTAGGCTCAATCCCCAGTCCTTGCCCGGGCTCACGCGGAAGGCAACCCGTCGGTGTGTCTCCTTTCGATGTTTCTCTGTCTCTCCCCCTCCATTTCACTCTCTCTAAAAATCAAAGGAAAAATATCCTCAGGTGAGGATTAACCAAAACACAAAATAAAATGTACAGAACATATGAAAGGAAAATTGACAGAGTAAATCCTACATAATCCCAAGAATTCTTGAAAATGATGTGATAGCGTGAATGTCTTTAGGTCCCTGTGGACTATCCTTGTATCCAACACGGAAGCTCCTCCACTGTTAACATTGCCCCTTCTTGTTCTTTTATACCACACGCATACTTCCTTGCTTATACTTTGGATCTTACTACTCTACGTTGTAAAAATGTAGGCCAGAAGCAATCATAGTATGCGATGAACAGCAATTTAAAAAAATGCTGTCTAAACCAACCTCTTACCCGCTTCATCTCCTCCTGGGACGTAGGCTCATGGTTCTGGACCTTAAAACCAGAGCATACACACTGTCTCCCATCCACCATGAATTAACACTAATGTTAACTCAAATATGTCTGTGTCAACCATGATTGTCTTTGAAATTAAAGGGAAAAGGTAAACAGAATGTGCTCTGCTGTGATCTCTGGGGAAAATAAAGTTAACAGGCTAACCCAAACCAACTTAAGCCTTTTTTAAAAAATAAGTGTAAATAGTTTAGCTTTAAGAACAACAAATTCAAAAAATGCACATTAAAATGTTTACTTCAAATTTTAGACAATTCCATTTGTATATAGTTTTTACATCTGTTTTTAATGATATCAAGTTATTGATTGTTCATTTTTCTCATATTTATTTAAGCATTAACTATAGAATTTGCAATCTGATCTCTCTCTCTTTTTTTTAATCCTTCCAGTAGACTTTTATTTTTGCCAGGTTCTAGTCATATTTACTTTGATCTTTCCGAGTATATAATTATTTTACTGTTTATTTATTTCTGTGAGATGAGGAAAAAAAATTCTGACCTAGGAGATCTATATGTGGCAATTTGTAACAGAATCACATAGCTTATGTTTAGGAAATCATGGTTTTGATTAAGAAGCAACCATTTAGTTCCCACTGTTTTATTAAAACAGACATTAGCAGATAATAGGAAACATATTTGACAATGCAGCAGGCCTTCAGTCTGGGACATCAGTGAGTTAGCGTGATATTTCCTTCCATGCTGACTGTCAGCCATGGGACACGTAACTAGGTAACTGTGGGCTGACAGTGGAGGGGCGAGGCGGGGGGAAGGGTGTGGTGAGGAAGCCCAGGCGGAGGTAGAACTGACTTCTCATCTCACAGGAGGGGCCCTGAGATAGAATTCTGGGTTTGCTACTATTCATTTCCATATATATATATATAGTCATTTTGAAAATAGATGGACACAAACAGAACTTGTACAAACAAACATCATTACTTTCTCGTGAGAAATGGAGTCAATGAGAGAGGATCCCCCACAGCAACATCTATTGGGAGCACAGAGCTTCCAGCCAAGGAACTAGCCTGTGCTTTCCTCTGGGGGTCGAGAGTTAATAAAACATCATCTCAGGGTGTTGGTATTCTGTGCACCCTCCTACCTGCCGCGAATGCTTTGTTTTTCCTCCCACCCCCGGGCTGATGCACCAGCACCACTTGAACTGTTTTACGACAGCTGGTGTTTACTTCACACATACCTGAACCTTCCCCGTTCCCCTCCCACTGCACACACACACACACACACACACACACACACACACACACACACACATTCTCCGCAGGAATGACTAGCTCCTCTCTCTTCAGGGCATGTGTACACAGTGTCTGGCAGCCTCTTCAGGTATGTGGATCCTTGACCTCCGGATTGAAATCAAGGTCTTAGTCTGCTTTTACGGCACTTAAAAAATTTAACTGTGCATTTACTATCTTGAAAAGAAACACACACACACACACACACACACACACACACACACAAAACCTGGATTTCTAAGGACAGAAAAGAGAGAAGTAGAAGCCGTAAGTGTTAGGGTGTGTGTGCACAGATTTGCACTGACACATGCACTCCACAGTGGCCACTCTGAAGCACTACACTGAAGGGTTTCCAGTGTCTGAGTCTGCGATTACTCTCCGGACGAAAGAAGGACATGCTCGCTCTTCCTTTCTCTTATAACAGCGAGCAAATGGGATTTCACGAGTGACCTTGGAGCTGCGTGATTCTTTTGATGTTTAACCGAGGAGGGTATGTTCAAGTGTCTGAACCATCTTATGCTCAAAGAAAAACTTGGAGACCGCACTTACAGAAAAGAAACCCTTCTGAGCCACACAATTATGCTCTGGGGCAAGGAGCCGTTCATTGTACCCTGTACAAGAGTTAATATTAATAATATTCTAAAGCAAGTGCCCAAGCCAGAATCTAGAGGGTCCTAAGAATTTGAGAATATGTTGAAAAGAAAGAGATCTGAACTCAATCGTCAGTGGATTTAATTGCTTTCGGGAGTTCAACATTTTGACATTTTTATGAAGTTGTGCATTTGGCATAAAATGCTCTCATTCCTTGGTAATCGGAAATGGGCCACCAAGGCACACGAAGTTCACGTCCTCCAAAGGCAGCCTTGTGAACTGACTCCCAAACAGTCAGCAACCAGCAAGTGCCCCTGCCACACTCTGAACCCCAAGAGGAACCTGCTTTAGTAAAACAACTAAACCCATCCTTCTCTGCTACCCACTCCCCAACAGCCATGCCATTGGCCCTCGGTGGGGCAGCGGATTGACAACAAGGCTATGGAACCTACAATGAAACGTGATGGATGATACCATAATTATGCAAAATATGAACTGAGATAGCTGCAAACATCAAACTATTATGTTACCAAAAATTCCCCAAGTGCCTCCAGAGCCAGCAGCCTTTGAATTGAACAGCATTTGAACTGGGGTGAGAACAATGTAATTTTTCCAACACCAACATATGTGCAAAGGCCAAATATCACAAATATATTTAAAGGACTGGGTAACTAGCCAGCAACGTAGATACTTTCATCATTGCGACGTTCAGATAAGGAAACTGAGTCTTGGTGAAGTTAAAAATTGTGTTGGAGCTCACACAGCTGGCAAATGGAAGATAATGATTTGAACACAAGTCCCTTTGCTTAAACCGTGGCTATGGAATTGTCTCCAAATACACACAACAGCAAAATCCCATTTTTGACCCTAAGATTCCTGGGACCACAACAATCCCTCTAACATGTGCTTGCTACTTAACTACAAGTGCTGATTCAACCTAGAATGGCTGCTTTTAAACTTCCAGTACTATATAAGGGAAAATGATTCATTGATTAGCTTTTAAATAAGCATGCCTATGTGAAATAAACCATTTCAAAATATTTTGAAAGATCTCAATCTTCACAAGCATCTCTTATGAAAACTATAAACTTCATATATTATGCTAAGAATTTTACTTTTAGCCCTAGTGTTTTTGGCTCAGCGGATAGACCACTGGCCTGTGAACTGAAGGGTCCTGAGTTTGATTCTGGTCAAGGGCATATACCTCCTCAGTTGCAGGCACCCAATGGGGGCGCATACAGGAGAAAACCAATGGATGTGTCTCTCTCACATCAGTGTTTCTCTCTCTGTCTCTCCCCCTCCCTTCCACTGTGTCAAACAACCGATGAAAACAAAAAGATATCCTTCGGTGAGAATTAACAAAACAGGACAACAACAACAAAAAAATTTTACTTTTAGTTCTGATACCATCTTAGTTTTAAGAAAGTCAATTTGGATCTCTTGATGGAAGTATTAAGAATATTGCCTTATTAAAAATTATATAAAATGTGATTTTAAAAGTATACCTAAAATTAGCATAAATTCCAAAGACGCAACAACTCATTAGCCTTAGAAACTGAAAACAGGGCTTCAAAAATAAAAAGTTTACCTTTAATCTTCTTGTACTTCTTATACCATCGCCCAAACTCCTGGCACTTGGTTGCTGACACGTTGGCATAATATGTGCTATTTACAATGGATGAAATCATACTCTGCAAAGAAAAAAAAAACACAGTTATTTTTCATAAACGTTAATACTCCTCCCTTTTAGGGACAAGAAAGGGCGCGCTATGGCACACACCAATCTCCTTTGTCTTTTAAATTGGAAGGACTCACCCTCCTGCAAACTACACTATTAAACACTAAATATGATTCTCTAGCCCTAGCTGGTTTGGCTCAGTGGATAGAGTGTTGGCCTGCGGACTGAAGGGTCCCAGGTTCGATTCTCTCAAGGGCACATGCCAGGGTTGTGGACTCGATCCCCAATAGGGGGTGTGCAGGAGGCAGCCGATCAATGATTCTCTCTCATCATTAATGTTTCTCTCTCTCTCTCTCTCTCTCTCTCTCTCTCTCCTTTCCTCTCTAAAATTAATAAAAATATATTAACCAAAAAAAAGGCGTGATTACCTAAATTTACTATCCCTTTAACTAATGCTTGTCAAAGTGTAAGGGGCAGTGTCAAAGATGGAGGGCAGGCCAGGCACGGCGGGTGCCCAGGGAGAGAGCAGCTGGGGTGTAGGAGCCAGAGCGCCAGGTGAGCCCCAAAGCCTCCGTCACCCGACAACGCCTTCCAGAGGCGCCTGTTCCCTCTCCGGCGGCAGAGATCACACGGAGCCAAGAGCCAGGGAACATCCGTGCTGCCCGCTGTGGAACAACGTTTAGGGAAATAAGTTAAATTAATATGATTTATAGAAGCGTGTGGTTAGCACTGGTGTGAAAATTCACCCGATGAAAAAATTAGCAGTGCTATTTTGGAGCCAGGGAAGCTCAACCTAACACTTGTGCTGGGTTTCAACCAAAAATGAATCCAAGCTAAGCCTTTCTGAGTGCCTCCCCTTCCTCCTCTGTGATTGTGGCAGCAAGAGAAGGGGGGCATCACCTATTTCCCACCGGACAATTAAAGTGATGATCACACACCCTGAATTCTCCACAGCTGTGTTTCCAGGCAATAGACCATGTCTGGCTAGCGTTGATGGCAAATGTTAACTTACATGTCAGTGAGTGTGATAGGACATGTGTATGTCTTATAAATCGGTTTTATTGCTGCAAATTCTGTCTAAAAACAAATGGACATAAACAATTCAGGTTATCTGAAGGTTTTCTATTCCACCTTGGGCTCATCTTTCTCTAAATCAGGGGCCCCAGATGCAAAGCAGCTGAGCGAAACTTTAGGCCATCTCATGGCATTTCCACAGAGTGGCTGCGCTTAAAAGGAGGGCGGTACACCCAGGTGATGGCACGTTCTTCGCCAGGAGGACCCAGTGCCAGCAGCAGGCCTGCACGACAGCTTTCTGGAAACAACGCCCTCTGCAAGCCCACCTTCCACTGGGTGTGCAGCCCTGGTGGGGGAGGGGCCTTAATTCAATTCCCAGAAACCCCTGTTTCTGCAGAGCAGATGGTCATCCTCCCCTGGTTGCTGATCTCTAAATGACAGCTCTGCTCTCCAAGGGGAAATAACGAGCAGGACTCTCAGTCTCAGGATCTGAGCACAGCCCTCGGAGCACCAAGGGCCAGGAGCACCTGAGTGTGTTGCGGAACTTTCGGCCTCGCCCGCAGCCCTGGAGGACCCCTGGGACACAGGGGTGAGGGGGTCTGCTGTGTGTACGATTAACAAAGGGGGAAGGAGTCTATCCTAGCTCGGCCGGTGCCCTCTGGCTGAGCTGCTCTTTCTGTCCGGGTCTGAGATACCCAGACCTGGGATGAAGTGACTGTGTCTGTTTCAATTTTCTCTTCCTCCCTCCTGTCTACCACAGAGCTGATGCGGGATGGCTGAGTCACTGGGATATAACAGATGAAAAGGGGCAGCGATGGAATTTTAAAATGCCAAAGTGAAATGTCATAATAACGAGCGATTTAACGTGAAGGCCGCCTCGTGGCAGAGGCACCCGCCACCCTGCTGGCTGTGGACGGTCCTCTCTGGAGGCTGTCTGCAGGGATGCTCTCCCCACCCCCAAAGGCTACCCAGCCATGCAGAAGTCGGTGCTAAGCCTTCCGCTGCAAAGGGTGTTAACATCCAGAGCAAAGCAGAGCTCAGAGTGCCAGCGCCAGTCTCCCAGAAAACGCCTTTCAGATGGCTGCTCCCTTTCCAGCTGCAACAGCAAAACTGAGGTGGAAAGGATCTCAGGCCCTGCCCAGACCTCACCTCCTCCGCCCTAAGCCAGGCCACAACCTCAGTCACCCAGCCCCACACCGTCCACATGTCCACATGTCCCCGCCTTCATGCTCTGCCTTTGCTCCACAGGCACCTTCCCTGACTCAGCCCAACGCCAGTATGGACCCAGATGGCGAGGAGATGGACACCCGGGTTTCTATGGCTCTGTCACCAGGTCCTATGCTGGAGGCACATTCATTCTCAATCAAAAAGGAGGTGGCTACCAAGACTCAACCAGATCTGCTCTCTTCCCCAGAGTACGATACATGGGTTTTCATTTTCACTGATCACAGAACAAAAAATAAACAGGGTGAAGCTGTGAACTGAGCGGTAAAAAAAAGAGAGAGCTTCCTAGCTCATGGGATATTTAGTCGCTGGAAAGATCTCTTCCAATATGTGGCAAATTTTATTCCTACTAATTCTCTACAGGTCTTTACACATAGTTGACACTCAGAGACGTTTTACTGATATAAGTTTGTATAATTCCCCGGAGAGCTTTCAAGACAGAAGAGGTACATTCTGGGGATGTTTTAGATACAAGGACACGTTATGCCTTATTCTGTTTCAAACATGAACATGCCCGAACCCTACATTACACTGTCACATTCTCATAGCCCAAGTCTGAATTACTAGGTCTCAGAATAGGTATATTCTGGACACATATCACAAGGTCAACTTAATATTAATGTCAACTTTTTTAAAAAATAAGCAAAAGTTAACTCCTTATAAACAACACTGCAGGGGGCTGACGCAGACACTGAACATGTGGCCTTTACAAGGAAGCCTGTCTCAGAGGGCCCGGCACTGGAACCTGGGTTTGCCCATCTCACCATTCTCCAGCCACGTGTCTTAAACATGTAATGTCCCTGAAACCGGGGCGCATCTCACCGTCAGCAGCATGTTAGACCTGATGAGATGCAGTTGCTGCAGAATGGAATGAGTAATGATTAAAATCTCTCCCACCTACTACCCTGCCAAAAAGATCTAATTTCCATTTACTGCTTTTTCAGAGACGTATATAATTCTGCAGTTTGCGTTGCTCTTTTATGTTTCCCAGTCGTTCTCAGAGCAACCACAGAACTTTGAGGATCCACACTCCTTCCCGATCAACGAACAGGATCTTTTCCAAATCCAGAATGCAACCAATCCCTGAGTGTCTGTGTCCACATAACGTAATGCTGATACAAGTCAGAAAGATAAGTGTGACATTCTGTGTTGGCTAAACAAAGGGCTGTGCTTTAGGGAGGGTTATATTAAAGTGACTTGGCATATACTGAGCTCATTTCTTCTTTTTTTTAAAAAAATATGTTTTTATTGATTTCAGAGAGAAAGGGAGATAGAGACAGAGAGAGAAACATCAATGATGGGATAGAATCATTGATTGACTGCCTCCTGCACACCCCACACGGGGGACTGAGCCCACAAGCCAAGCATGAGCCCTTGACCGGAATCAAACCTGGGACCCTTCAGTCCGCAGGCCAACACTCTTCCCACTGAGTCAAACTTTCTGGGGCTGAGCTCATTTCATGGTGCATGGTGCAGGTGATAAGAAAGAATGGGGAGGACAGACGTACAATGGAAGTCAAGGCAGCCCCTTCAGATACTTGGTCACAGACACAAACATCACATGGACACTGATCCACCACAGCTATTTTGTGGGAAAATATTATGTGTTAAAATAAGTAGGAAGGCTTAACATGTCCTGCCAACTACAGAAATGTTCTGGATGTTTCAGACCTCTTTGTAATTAATTGTGAGATAATAAATATGGAGACTGTGGATGGGGCATATAATCAAAGTGTCCTCTTTTGCAGTCACTCTGACACATCATTTGCCACTAGTATTTGCAAGTTTTGTGTGTGTGTTGTTGTTTTTTTTTTGGGGGGGGGTTGTTTTTTTAATAAAAGAAGGTATTTGAGAATTCGAAATATACCAGAATTAGCTACTCCAAAGTTTACTAACTCATTTGAATTTGCACTATGCCAAATTGCAAAAGCATATAATAATACTGCTAATAGTACTTATAAGAGCTAAGTAGATGGCCTTATCTAAAAAGAAATTTTGTTGTAGGTTTTTTTTTGTTTGTTTGTTTTTTAAATATATTTTATTGATTTTTATACAGAGAGAAAGGGAGAGAGAGAGAGTCAGAAACATCGATGAGAGTCATCGATCAGCTGCCTCTTACACACTCCTACTGGGGATATGCCCGCAACCAAGGTACATGCCCTTGACCGGAATCGAACCCGGGACCCTTCAGTCCCCAAGCCGACGCTCTATCCATTGAGCCAAACCGGTCCCGGCTTGTTGTAGGTTTCTCAGACAAACGTTAACCACATCCGTGTGCTTTTTCACTAGCCAGAGAACAGATGTCACCTGTGCTTAGAACTAAGGTTCTAATTTTCAAATTGAGGGCACGAAGCTCAGAATGTAGCATCTTCTCCAAAATCAAAAAGCAATGGGGAGCCCCACAAAGAGACACCACTACTAGGCCCCACTGTATCATGGGTCTCTTAAAAAGGGAAGCTAATCAATGAAAGGAAGGATGGACTCCACATCACCTCCATCTGCCAGCACACGCTCAACACTGGACACTGAAATCAATTCTTCAGACAAAGCAAGAAACAAGGTGTTAGAATGTAAAACAACAACGGTATGACTCAGGCCCCTTCTATGAGCGGATTCAGTTTAGAGTCAGAGAAAACTAGAGAATCAAACTTAAAAAGAAAAGCAAAACAATAGCCATGCACTAAGATGATCTGTACAAGACACATAGAAAGATCTGAGTATCCCCCCTCCTTTCCCCAAAAGAGGAAGATACTATATAGAATCGTCTATTCTTCACTGCCTTCCCCTTGGCTCAATAAGATTTGTTTGAATAGGAACAGTATAAGAGAAGCCAACCTGCAGACACATAATACAGTTGTTCTAAAAAAGAACATTTTAAAAGCAAAGTGGATGGTTAGACATTTGGCCAGGGCAAAAGTCCTGTTTAGCAAGAAGAGTGTCAGAGTAAGGGAGAAGCCAGCATCTCCAGCCTCTTTGCCCATGCTTAACCTGGAGGACAAAGCACGATGCAGGCGATGAATAATATATGCACTTATTGCTCATTTTCGGCTTCTTCATGCTGCTCTGTGATATGCTAAATAACATACTGAACACCTATAATAATAAAAGTATAATATGCTAATTAGACTGGACAGCCGAATGACCTTCTGGACATCATTCTGGAAGAAGCCACAGTGGTGGGAGTGAAGATAGAGGCAGTTAGGGGTGATCAGGCAAGCAGGCGAGCAGTTAAGAGCCATTAGGCAGGCAGGAGAATGGTTGGGGCAATTAGGCAGGCAGGTGAGTAGTTAGGAACTAGTGGTCCCAGATTGTGAGAGGGATGTCCAAGGGGTCCCAGATTGCGAGAGGGTGTAGGCCAGGCTGAGGGACCCCCTCCCCCAATCCACGAATTTTATGCACCAGGCCTCTAGTGAGATTATAAGGATACTTCAATGAAGTACGGTAAAGAAAAAAAAACCTGATGTGGAGGAATTACTTGGTCATGAAAAATGCATTTGATGTCATTTGGCAGCCTCCCACCATCACTTCCCAGCCCTTTCTGAGCTACGTGATCCGAGTGGAAAACTGTTACCATCCGCACTGAAAGAACCACTTCCTCCGGACTTTGGGGTGTAAGAAGCCTCCATGTGAGAGCTTCCCTCCAAAGAAATAACCATGGAGAAGCTTGCTTATCAGATGGCAGCCCCTCCTCAGGGGACCTGGGGTGTGGACACCTGCCTCGGATGGGTGTAAGGATTGGGGGAGATGATGCGTGAAGAGTGCCAACACAAGATGCGGGGTCAATGGACATCGGCTCTCTCCCCTCCATGCAACCACTTCACATGGCCACCTCAATCACCCACTCAGGCGTTCTTTCCAGCTGTCAGAGCCTCCGTCAACATGAGTTCATGAGGTTGGTCCTCAAACAAAAACAGCTTTGCATGAAAATAACTGAAAGCTGGTTACCTCAAGACAAGGTGCATCCTCACTTCATACACAATTTGAGATTCAATGAAACAGACAATTGGCAACTGGTTCACACAAGACTGGCCCAGCAGTTATCACCTGCTCATCTGCAGATGAGACATGATCCACTGGTTTTCTTCTCCTGACCCAACTGGCTGCCTGACTTCACCACCCGATTATGTTGGCATATGGCACATTTAAGTTAGTCCTTTCATGATCCCCAAATGGTCCATGCTTGCTAGGGGTAACAGAAATAATTATCTTCTAGCCTATTTCTAAAGAAGACCAGCAATGCTATTCCACCATCACACTGGAAATCCAGTCACGTATCCGCAGCTCAGTGACTTCAGTCAGTCATTTTGTTCCACAAATACTTGACAGTAAAACCTCAACTAGGGATATGGGACAGAGCTTTGAAAACATATCTACATGCTTGAAATAAGCCAACACAAAAGGACAATTATTCTATGATCTTACTTTGATGAGGTGCCAAAACAAGCACATTCACGAAAGAGGAGTACAAGAGACTGTGGAGGAGAGGGGATGGGGAATTATAACTTCATGGACACAAGACTTTCTCTTTGGGCTGATGGAAAGTGTAGCAATAGATGAGAGGAATGGTGGCACTATACCATGAATGTAATTAATGACACTGAATTGTAAACTTAAAAATGGTGTAAAAGATAAACTTCATGTTATATGTATTTTACCACCAAATATATATATATAACTTAAAGCATATCTAGAGTCACAGAGAGAATGGTTAGGTGGGGCTTTTTCCCCCTGATGCATTTCTACCTGGCGAATTCACTATGAAAGCTCTACAAATGTGCATGATGCAAAGATCACCTCTCTCTCTACTAGACAGGGGAAGGGCTCAATAAATAAAATAAAGATGGATCTGGCATGGTTGACTCATTCCATTCACCAACCTGTGCAATGATTTCAAGAACAGGTAAAGAGTACTAGTGCCCTACCCTTTCTGTTTAGCTGCCTACTACTCCGATGCATGCCTCCCTGGTATTTTGGGAGCAAAAGCATGAACAGTATGATTTGTCTCAGAGGGTCTAAATACTAAAGTATACCCCAAGACACATAAAAACTGTCCACACCAGCAATATGATGTCTCCATCCTAACAGCTGATACTGTTCCGAGAACATCTTGGTACACCAGGTCACAGGCCAAATCCCACATTTATGGAATTTATCTCCCTCCCTCCTCACTCCATGACTTAGAACTACCGTGTTTCCCCAAAAATAAGACATCCTCCAAAAATAAGACCTACTTACAGGTTTCCTTCTGAGTGAAATAAAAGGCACCCCCAAAAAATAAGTCCCCCCTACGCTCTGTCTCAGAATGCTATTGCTAAACATGAGAGATTTGGTCCACTGATTCTGAAAGAAAAGGAGTCACAAGAAACTCACCAGGAAATTCAGGAATTGGATTGTTATGATGATGTTCCAGATGATGACATGATTGTCATTGAATGAGTAAATTCTTGATACTGTAGGATTCACAGTTTGTCTGGTTTGTGTTGACAACTACCATACTACCGAATCATATACAGGTAATAAATTTCCTTTATTTTCATTTAACAATAAATGTGTACTGTATTCTTCTTCATGGAAAAATAAGACATCCCCTGAAAATAAGACCTAGCGCATCTTTGGGAGCAAAAATTAATATAAGACACTGTCTTATTTTCGGGGAAACAGGGTATTTCTATCCTGGTTTTACTTACAAAGAAACAGGCTCATAAAGGTGATGTCACAGAGGCTGTAAGCCAAGACAGGAATCCAGATTCTTGTGCTTCCAGAAGGCATGCTATTAACCACCAGCTCCCTGCATCTCCCCAAGATGCCATCATCTGAGAACACAGCTCCAGTTTCACTGTTCCCATCACCTTCCCATGAACTTCACAGGCAGGTAAGTAACCTACTGTCTTACATTAAGTGTAACAACTCACACCAGGAAGTGGATTCCCAGGAGTGCTTTAACTAGTATCAACCTGCGTTCCTATCACCACGGTTCTAAGCCACTGCCTTTGGCCATCAACATGTTATCTCATTGTTCCACAGATTGGGCTCTTGCCCATGGACAAAAATGGACAAGCAGCCCTGCTGCTTCTCCCCTTGATCCTCTCAGTGTCTTGTTTTGATCTATGACCAGGTCACTAAAAATGCAGTATCACTTTTTCACCCAGTGCACTTCCACCTGGCGAAGTCACTACAAAATCCCGACAAATGTGTATAGTTTGACCACCTCTATCTGCTAGACAATAAATAAATATGAACAAATAAAGGTGGTTCGGGCATGGCTAACTCATTCCACTGAGCAGGCAATGCAGTGATTTGAGACCTGTGCTCTGGCAGGTGACACTCAGCCTGTCACTTCACCAGCCAAGCAAGCTTAGGTGGGTAGAGGGCTTCTCCCTGGGTTTCTCAACTTATAAAATGGAGACACTGCTACCTATCTTCTAGAATACAAATGGATAGATAGATTGTAAAAGTCAAAGATTTTAAAACACTCCCATTGCATCAAAGCTTTCAGTAACTGCTATCTTCTATGCCATACACACAAAAAAGCACCATAATCTCCATAGCTTTCCACCCAAAATGCAATGTGACTCTAGAAATAAAACACAGCTATGGGAGCAGGTGTGCCCTCCTGAAGGATGGCCCCCCGCAGCGTACCCCCGGGATACTAACCTGGGAGAGAGGGCATTCTTTGGCTAGTGTGCTCTGGTTCATCTCTTTGAGCAGTTCCTTTAAGGCATTGCGGACGGTGGCATGGTTCCACTGCTCCGCGGGCAGGTCTTCCAACTTTGAGCAACTGGAAAACACAGCAAGAAGGAACAGGCAAACCTTAATGAAGGGCCTGGCTGCAGAGATATGGGTCCCCTCCAGCCCCAGGCAGCACTAGAAAAACTGCTAAGGCCCTGGCCAGTGTGGCTCAGTGGTTGAGCGTCAACCTATGATTTAGAACTATTTCTATCCTGGTTTTACTTACAAAGAAACAGGCTCATAAAGGTGAGATCACAGAGGCTGTAAGCCAAGACATGAATCCAAATCCATCTGCCTCCAGAAGGCATGCTCTTAACCCCTAGGCTCATGGTTCGATCCCTGCCTGGTCAGGGCACATGGCGGGGGAGGGGGGGGGCCCCGCAGGCTGGATCCTCAGTAGGCGTGCAAATCAATGATTCTCTCTCATCGTTGATGTCTCTATGTCTCTCTCCCTCTCCCTTCCTCTTTAAAATTATATATATATATATATATATATATATATATATATATATATATATTTTTTTTTTTTTTTTTTTTTTAAAGTAAAACTGCTAAAGAACACAACTGGGTGTGGGCCCCACAGAGGGAAGGGGAGCAGAAAACTGCTTCTCTGGGGCCTGACAGGAACCAGCCATTGCACTCATCAGCCTGGGAAAAGAGTCCCTTCAAATATGAAAAATTGCTAATGTTTAAAATATTTCCACTAAAATCAGTTTGGCTCAGTGGATAGAGCGTTGGCCTGCGGACTGAAGGGTCCCAGGTTCGATTTTGGTCAAAGGCATGTATCTTGGTTGTGGGCACATCCCCAGTGGGGGGTGTGCAGGAGGCAGCTGATCGATGTTTCTCTCTCATCGATGTTTCTAGCTCTCTATCCCTCTCCTTTCCTCTCTGTGAAAAATCAATAAAATATATTTCTTTTAAAAAAAAAGTAAGATTTCCCTAATCTTCTGTAGGAAGTAGTGAGGCAGCCAATCAATGATTCTCTCTCATCAGTGATGTTTCTATCTCTCTCTCCCTCTCCCTTCCTCTCTAAAAACGTATTTGGACCATTTGACTTTTCAATGGAATGACTGGGCCTTCCGAAGGCTAAATGTCCAGCAATGCTCATCAGACTTGAAGTTTAAAGGCTGAACCTTCACTCCCACACCACAATGTAGAGATGTGGCTTTCCTCACCGAACAGGGCATCTAAGGGAAGACACCAAAGCATCCGTGCACCTGTCAGAGCACAAATTCCCCAAAAGCCTTCACACTACAGGACGCTGCTGAAATCATGTGACTCGCAGGCATGCCCCTGAGCAGGCTCTGCTGCAGAGCGCCTCTGGGGCCTTTGACAGAGGCACCATTGGTTCTGGATGCTGCATGGGGAGGTGAGGGGGGTGCAGTGCAGAGAGACAGAAACCACTCAGAGAGACAGAAACCATTCCCTGAATCTCTGTGGCTCAGAGAGAAGAGGGGAAGAGGCGCCCAGTGCCGGTGTCTTTTGAACAAGTCTCTCCCACGGGCAGAAGCTCATCCCTCAGCACACACACTGAGACCTCGGGGTGTTTCATCTTCCAACCCCATGCACTGAGCGTTCACCGGGAGGACCCAGGAGTGCAGGGCGGTGGGAAGGGCTCCTGATGGGCCGAAGATCTGTAATGATTTGTCAGAGTCCCTTCCCCCCGGTTGCCACTCCACTGCTTCTGAAAACAAACCCTCACCCGGCTGGAATGTGGACCATAAAGATGCCTGGGAAGCCTCTCCTTGTCTGCTCTCTCCCTGCCCCCCCACCACCCCACTAGCGCAGAGGGACGCACTGGGCTTGGTGACTCCGTGACGGCCGGGACACAGGGCAGACGTGCAGACCCACCTCTGCAGCTGGATCTTCAGCGTCACGACGTGGTAGACATCCTGCAGCATGTCGGCCACCGTGGCGTCGGGGGCATCAGTCACGTAGCTGAGGGGCAGCGGGTTCCACCTCCCCAGCTTGATTATTCCTGCGCAGGGAAGAAAAACACCATGAACACCGATCTGCCATTTATTAAACCCGCTGCTGTTTGTTCCCGGTTAAGAAGGTCACTCCCCAGTCAACAGGCAGGGCCTCACCGGGAGAAATTTTATAACCCAGGGCCATAACCCGGTTCGTTCTGGCCCGCAGGGGAGGGAGCTGACTCTGCGGGGAGGAGAAGAAAGGGATTGTGGTTCAATCACGGACAATCGGTTCATTTCATGTTTTCCGGTTTCTTAAATTACTTAGGAAACCATAAGGACATTTCCTTCCCCCAAAGTCTCGATTCACACTCCAACTTAAGACGGATGCTAAATATACCAGACTGCTGATTTCATAGACCAGAAAGGGAAGGAAAAAAAGCAAGCAAGCCTTAAGTAAATAGGAGATCTGGTTTGGAATTGGACAGGCGAATGCCTGCGTGTGGGCTCGGCACAGACACCGTCACATCCTGGCCATGGTGTGAGCCCCGGGTGAGGGGTGCTCAGAGCTGATGGAGCAGTTTGAGGTCACGTCCAGACGGCACTGCACCCGGCAGGGGGGCTGTTCGCCAACAGCACAGGGACTGACCACCAATCGAAAACAGCAGACATGCCTTCAACTTCCTTCGTTTCTAATTCCTCAGCTCTTTTTATTTTATTTTTTTATTATTTTAAAAAGAATTTTTATTGGTTTCAGGGAGGAAGGGAGAGGGAGAGAGAGAATCATCACTGATGAGAGAGAATCACTGATCAGCTGCCTCCTGCACACACCCTACTGGAGATCAAGCCTGCAACCCAGACATGTGCCCTGACCGGAAATGGAACTGTGACTTCCTGGTTTGTAATGGACACTCAACCACTGAGCCACACATTACATTAAAGAGGAAAAATAAAGAGAAACTCATTTCACAAACACAGAGCAAAGAAAATTTTATTTGTGTGCTATGAAAAATCAAATGGTCCCAGGCATTAGAAATTCTCTCTCTTTCTCTCTCTTGGCATGTATTAATGATAGAAGTAACACAGCAATACAGGTAAGTCCAACTACACTGTTCTTCCAAAAAATACTTATTTTTTATCATCAGAGAGAGAGGACACCTATATACTCAGGTGAATGTTCAAACGCTTCACAAAATTATGCTTTGTTGCCATGGGGTGAAATCCCAGTCATAGGACGTGAACTGCCTGGTCAGGCCACGTCCTGTCCAAGAGGAAGTAAACGAGTGCGCAATGCTTGACATCATGCTTGAAAACAGGGGGTAAACAGAACAAAAATATTAAAATGATGCACTGTTTCAGTATTAAGATTGAACAATCTGGTGCTGAATATGCTGCAGTATAAATAGTGCCTGGACTCGGTTCCAATAAAGGAACACAGCTCTCATTCATGGTACCGTATGTCTCCAGAGCTGGCTCCTCCAGTCATGTCCCACTTGCCAAGAAAAGCTGTTTTCTTGTGGGGATCGTTGTGCTGACATTCCCTCTTGTGACAATGAGAAGCGCGCAGCACGCAGGAGCCACGAAATGCACATCGCGGCCGCCGGACAGCCACCCAGGGGGGGCAGGGGCTGCCTCCTCGCTGCCTCTACTCCTCCTGACACCTGGGAATACTAGGAAGATGCCGTGTCACATGTCCAACATATTTCCTTTTAAAAGAGAATCACTCCACAGTTTCAAATTCCTTTAAGAGTCATGATCATTGAGTATAAATTGGCCATGTTCTAAAGACATGACGTTTTAGCCAACGTTTGGCTCAGTGGATAGAGCGTCAGCCTGTGGCCTCAAGGATCCCAGGTTCGATTCTGGTCAAGGGCATGTGCCTAGGTTGCGGGCACATCCCCAATGGGGAGTGTGCAGGAGGCAGCTGATCAATGTTTCTCTCTCATCGATGTCTCTAACTCTCTATCCCTCTCTCTTCCTCTCTGTAAAAAAAAATCAATAAAATACATTTTTAAAAGAAAAAGAATAAAGACATGATATTTTATCGTCAGAGATGCAAGGGGGGTTAAAACGCAGCTGGCCACCGGGCATGATAAAAGGCAAGTAGCAAAAGCTGACTGTGTGGGTCATTTCGGTGACCCCGGATGCACAAATAATACAAGGCGAATGAATCTTGCAGAGTTCAATGTACACCCCCAGAAGAGATGCATTTATGCTGTTGGGTATGTCCTTGTCCACTCCTTTCTACTGGGTAGGATTCCACTGTCAGAGTAAACCATGCCCAGCCGGCTGGCTCAGTAGTTGAGCATTGACCTATGAACCAGGAGGTCATGGTTCCATTCCCGGTCAGGGCACATGCCTGGGGTTGTGGACTAAATCCCCAGAGTGGGGCAAGCAGGAGACAGCCGATCCATGGTTCTCTCTCACCATAGATATTCCTATCCCTCTCTCTCTTTTCCTCTCTCTCTCCCTTCCTCTATGAAATCAATAAAAATAGATATTTTTAAAAAAGAATAAACCACAATGCAGCCAGAAACAACAAACTATTTCTGTATGATTTCATTCACATAAAATGCAAAACAGGCAAGACTAATCTAAGAAAGAGCTCAGCCTCAGAAAGTGGTTGGCTGGATGGCAGAGGCAACTGACTGGGAAGGGACAGAAGAGAATTCTCTTGTTTGGGTTGGCGGTTGCCAGGGTATAAAAGTTGTCAAATTTCATAAAGTCCAACAATATGCATACATTTCTTTGTATGTAAATTATACGTCAAAAAAAAAGGTGAAGGAGGAGAGGATGATAGACAAATCACTCTACTGAAAATAGTAGCCTCATGTAGGTAAATTCTCTCCCCGCATTGGGAGCCAGAAGGAGACTTGTTTGGGCTGGAATTAGACACACACAGGTGTCCCCACCACACGCAATGCCTCTGCCGCCAGCAGCTGCCTCAGGTTGGTCTGCCTCAGACGAGAGCTGCTGACAGAAGAGCTATTTTCGGGTGACGGGGAGTGGCGTGTGCACCCTACTCACTACCTCCCCAGGCCTGGGAGCCTGTCCTTTGCTCAACTGTGTGCCCGGCTCTGCAGGGTGCAGGTCTGCTAGGACAGCGTGTCCATAAGACTGTTCCCCCCGCCGGTGCAAGCCACTTGGACCCACGCAACCCTCTGGAATACACTCCCAAGATACAGTCTTCCTTCTCTGATATAAAACAGGCAAAAATGGTTTTTGGACGAGGAGACAAGTATTAATCGAGGAAATCAAATTGGGATTTTATATAAGCCCAGTCCCCCTCTGTGATTTACAATAATGAGGCCTTTTACAGGCACAGGACCAGATTAAAAAGGGGAGAGGAAATGAACACATATAAATATCCTTGAGTCAATGTTTTTCTTAAATACATGGACTCTCTTCTTTTTAAGAAGCAGGAAAACTTCTTAACAGATGCATCTCTTCCAGGGTTGTCCACTGAACTCTGCAGGACAAGTTCAATCATCAAATTGGGAAGCAGAATAGCACTGTGGTCAGCAAACTGCGGCTTGAGAGCCACATGCGCCTCTGTGGCCCCTTGAGTGTGGCTCTTCCACAAAATACCATTGCCTGGGCGAGTCTATTTTGAAGAAGTGGCATTAGAAGAAGTTTAAATTTAAAAAATGTGGCTCTCAGAAGAAATTTCAATCATTGTACTGTTGATATTTGGCTCTGTTGACTAATGAGTTTGCCGACCACTGGGATAGCACAATGACTAAGAACACAAGCTGCCAAGTCAAATTGCTTCCGTTCACATCCTGGCTCCCCCACCTACTAACTGTACAGACTCAGCAAGTTACCTCCATGCCTCAACCTTCTCACCTGTAAAATGGAACAATAAAAGTACTGACCTCTAATGCAGAATAAACGGAAAGCCTTTAGCACAGAGCCTGGATGTGATTCATCTCAACAATTGTGTACAGTCATTATTGAGACAGTTTTAATGCTTCTTAGAAAGAAGATAGAATCCATTTATTTTAAAAACTATTGACTCAAGGGTATTTTTACATCTTCCTCACCTTTCCCTCTTCAATCTGGCCATGTGCCTGTAAAAGGCCTCATTATTAAATCCCAGAGGCGGACTGGACATCCATCCTCCCACCCTCTTCATCGCCTCCACCCTTACTCCTCAAGGTTCCTTTCCCTTTCACCGAGTAGATTCAGATCTCCCTCCTGTAGCAAATAGCACTTCCACACTCACTTCCCCCTCAGGGCTGCTCCCCCAAAAGTACTGAGTGCACCTCCAACTTATCCATCAGACTTCCGCCCTGAGGAATCTAGTTTCAACCCTTTCATGGGGAAATGGGCGATCTGAAGGAATAAAGCCCAGATTCCCTTGGATTACCACAAGCTTGCTCTCCTCAGTCTCCTCTACATCACAGCGGCTCACGTGCGAGGCACATCGGGAGAGAAGATGGGGAGAGAGGTGGCTCTAGGTCTGCCAAGCCTTGAATGCCCAGCTCAGCAGAATGCTGCATGGGTCAGAGGTCAGGAACAGAGCCTGGAGTCAGAGGTGTGTGCAGGTCCCACCTGATCTGCTCTGAACAGGCTGTTCATCTCACTGAGTCTCAGTTCCCTCATCTGTAAAATGGGACCATAACATCTACCCCTCAAGGCTGCCGGGAGGCTTTACATGAGCATAAGGATTTAGGACTGGGGCTGGCACACACCAAGTGCTCAGTCAACGTCAGGGGAAATGGATCCCTGAAAGTCTGGGGTTGGGGTGTAATTTAGGAAAAGGAACCTAACCTGGGATGCAGATGGACTGAAAGAGGGACGCACTCTGAGGGAAGAGAGAAAGCACTGCAGTAATACAGACAGGTGTGCTAATGACAGCCTCTCCCTGGCTCTCTCCAAGGAGGAAGACCAAGCCCAGCAAATGTTACCCCACTGGCGGAGGAGGGAGAGGAAAGGGTTTCCTGGAGATACTGGCTCACAGCCTTGGGAAAATCCCAATAAAAATGGCGTCACTATAAACATTCAGATACATGTCCAGTGCTCACTCTCTATGAGTAGGTTTTGAAACCCCAATCTGGAAAATGAG